GATATTTATAAATATTTTAGAATTCAAAATGCCAAATCATCTTATTCTATTTCAATAAAAACAGATCTAGTGTAATTGTTAAGAAAGAATTTGTCTTTCTTTACTCCAGATCACAATTATGGGAAGAGAAATCCCCCACACTGAAGGAAGATTTGGTAGGTGTTAAAATTATACCTTTTTAAAAATATTCCTTATTTTGAAAGGGTTACAGAGAGAGGGATCTCCCATGCACTGGTTCATTCTCTACATGGCCACAACAGCCAACTGTGGGCCAGGCCAAAGCCAGGGCCTAGGTTCTTAGGTCATAATGCACTGCTCTCTCAGGCCATTAGCAGGGAGCTGGATCAGAAGTGCAGCAGTTTGGACATAAACTAGCACCCATATGGGATGAAGGCATCACAGACAGCAGAGGCTTTATGCTTGTCCATTAAAATTATACTTTATTAACTATAGTTGCTGTAGGGTTGATATTTGGGGGCAGACACTGGAGATTAAATTGCTTTACAATACATTTTCACTATGCCTCAGAGGGCTTTGTTTAGAGGGCATCCTTCCATGATTGAATGTGTAGCACTCACATCATGGTTGGGATGTTTGTTAAACCTCTACTACACACCAGGTTAAGGGCTTTACAACTATGATTTTATTGTCATTAAGTACTTAAGACTGCATTATAAGGACATGAAATTATGAGCACTTTATGGATAAGGACAATGAGGTGCAGGGTGTTCCAAAGAATTGAGATCTTAACTGAGTTCTTTGATTCAAGAGCCATGTTCTCTGCATAAAGCCACACTACCACCACCAAATGAAATGAGGCTAAAAATGCAACATTCAGGCTGTGGCTCTGGAGAGGATCGAAATGAGTCATGCGAGCAGGGCAGTGTGAACTGTGTCCTCATGTTGTAATTCTCAAATTTTTATTTCATTTTAGTTCCCAAATTTTAGCATGCAGTCGAATCACTTGCAGTTGTTGAGTTGCAGACTATGAGTAAGCAGTTTTGAGTAACCAGACCCTAATGACCAATGACTGGTTCAGTACCTTGGACAGTGGAACAGGTGCGCTATCATTGCCATCTTTTCCAAAGTTTGCAAATCTCTGTTATTTTCTGTGGGTACATTCTTGTAACAAAATACATGGTCAGAATCTTTTTCTAAAAAAGTGCTTCTTGAATTGTCTTCAGTTATTTTGTGTTTTTTCCCTTCATGTAATTTCCTTCATATTTGTCCAGGGAAAGAACTGGGGCATCAGAGGGGGAAAAGTGTGTCCCCTTTCTCATTTTTCAATGGTATGCTGTCAGTGTCCCTAAGTCAAAAAGTATCTAATCCAATTTATCATCTGATAATGAGTGAATACAGAATTTAAAAGATTTTAAGTACTAGCATCAGCTTCCAGATTAAAAAAAAAAAAATCTATTTTCTTTCTGCCTCTTTGTGTGTAACTCTGACTTTCAAATAAATAAATAAATCTACTTGAGAGGAATTAGCACTCTCACTTACACACTTGATGAATAGAAAAAGAAATTAGCAACACCTTTTTGTCACTAATTCCACTGAACTATTAGTCCATTGAACACAAAGAAAAAGAAATAATTAGGAACATGACAAAGTTCTATTTAGAATCTCAGTGAAGTAAACATTATCTTAATTTATTTCAGAATGTGGTTCTTCCACCTTTTTCTTTCTTCTGTATTCTTTCCACCCATTTGTTATGCCAAAGATGAAATCAGAAAGCTCATTTTCTTTCTTGGCTTTGTTCTTTTCCAACCCCCACTTTGAAATAGCAACCACAGTTGTTGGCAGAAATACCTCAGGTGGGGGTGGGTTTAAAACTATGAATCTATTTCACAGCTGGAAGAAAGTAGTTCAGACAGAAGTCTTGCAAACAATTCCATTTGCTTCCCACCGAAGACATTTTTGGTTCCTGGTTGAGGATCCTCTCTCTGGTTACAGGGCCACTATGGGCTACATTTATGGAAAAAAATTGTGAGTATAACCTCACACATGCCTTTTAATAGGCCTTCTCTTAACCTTGTTGCATGATCTGCTTAAGGATACTCATTATTTTCATTCCAATGTATGTTTCCAAAATTAACTCATTAAAAATTCATTGCTGTCCATTAGGCTTATGTTTCTTGTGTACCGAGAGTGAAAATGTTGATCTTCACATTTTCACAATTTTATCAAATTAATTCTTGATTCAAGAACCCAGAATCTTCTTTTATTACTATATTTTAATATTATTAAAATAATTCTGATGTGTGGGTGTGTTTGTGTTCAACTGTGTGTTGAAGATCTATATGACAGCCAAGAAGAATGTTATATGCTATTTTAATTTTAATGACAGAATTTTGAAGTAGGTTTCTTTCTGCCTAAGAGATGGGAGAAATGGAGTTCAAAATCCCTGTGTTCATGGGTGCTTGTGCCTGAGTTTTGGGAGTGTTTTTCGTCTCTCATGCACTCTTCTTAGGATGGGCTTGTTCTACTGGAAATTTACACATCTAAGAAGGATGTAGAAAAACATATCATGTATGAAGCACAGTGCAGCTCTTGATGGTGAGAAGTAGTTGATTGCCATCCATTATTTGAAAAGCAGATATAGAGCTAAATTCAAAATCCATTACCGCCATGGCATATTCATTGGGATCTTGTCAGATGGAAAAATATTGGCCATTAGCAAAGATTAAATAATTTACCTGACATTGCCTTGAGCACTTAGTGCTGGGGAAGAATTTATAACTAACATCTTGGGAGTTGCTCAGACTAGTGAATTACAGGTAATTCTCTATTTACCACATTTTATCCCAGTCTTCTGAGAGTAATAGTAATTATTTAAAAAGGAAATGTAAATTATTTCATTTTGATGATTTTACCTGGTGCAGCTTTTTTCTTTCTCCTCTTCCTCCTTCCCCCAGCTCTCCCTCCTTTTCATCTTCTTGGTTGACTCAGTGAAATCTGAGTTCAGATATGAGGAACTATCACCATCAGTGGCTATGAGAATGTGCTTATTTCTTCTTTCTTGGTTCACATCAGTCCCTTTTAGAGAAATACTCACTCAATGCCTAAAATGGCTATATGGCCACTTTAAACGTTTCATTGCTTGTCGTAGATAGTGTGTTATGTTAAATGACCACTATGGACATTGGACATTGTGAGTCTATTACTAATTCCTAAAGAAGCGGTGTTCACTCTTAAGGGCTTTATGGGACGATTGTGGCCTCAAGTTATTTATAAAATGCAGAGGCAAAAATTATAAGGCTGGCCTAGGGGAATCACACTGCTTCCACGTTGTTCTTTGATAAATATGTAAGAGAATTGAGCAGGTGGAGGTGGGCTCAAGAGTACTAGACGCAGGTGCGGTAAAAATAAAACTACAGATGGCTTACAGAGGTGACTCATCTCCTTTTCCCTCCTTTCTTCTCCCCCTTCTTTACCTGCCCTTCCTCCTCCTTCAGCCTCTCCTCCCCCCCCTTCCTCTTAGTTCTAACGTTTCCATTGTGAACTTTTTATGAAAAGCACCCAGTGTCCAAGGACACCCATTTCTCCTCATTGCCATATCTGATTTCCATTTTTTTAAACCGTTTGATTCTTGGCATGGAATTCTCCTCCCTCCCCTGATAAAAACAGCCTTTTCTTGTGACTGCCATCAGCAGATAATGCATTTAAATTCACAAATACACTGCACCAGAATGCCATTCGTGCCTGCTAGTCCAGGGCTAAGAACACGTACAGGGGACACGCAGGTGCACCACACTTACAGCGTAGGGTTGCAGTGGTGGGAATATCCCCTAATCCAGTTTTACAGAAAACTTTACTCACTGGGTTGACCTTCATAAATGCATTCGTCATTTCTCTCCCTTCCGAAGTGGCATATTTCACTCCATGAGTAGGGAACCGTCTCCACTCAATATTATTTGGGGGCAAGAGGTTAACCTGAACCTCTCTTTGGTTTTGATGTTTGGAGGTGAACTTCACCGCTCGTCGAAGTCCTCAGCGTCCCAATTCACCCCTATTGTCTTTTCGCCCCCTAAACCGCTCTCCCAGAGCCCCCGACAGGGCCAGAACAGCGGCCAAGCGCCGCTGGGCGCTCTAGTGTAGACGGAGCGGGCGTTTCAGCGTCCGCTTCGGGTCAGGTGTGGTCGCTTTCGCGCAGCGCCGGCGCAGCCACCAGGGGGACCCCGACCCGCCCAGGTGGCCTCTGGTGAGAAAGCGTGCGAGGGGCGTGGAGCCCAGGGTCCTCTGACGCTTGCTCCCCAGAAAGCCCGGAATCGGCCTGGACTGCCCGCTCTGCTCGGGAGCACTGGCGAGGCCGGGACCCCTGGCTCCGGAAACGCGGGTCGCGCCGCGGCGAGGGGCGAGCCTCGGGGTGGGTGTGTCCGTTTCCGCCTGCCGGCCTTGCAGCCAGGACCCAGCGCCTGGGAGCCGGCACTTTGTTCCCGGGGCTGGGTTTGATCTGCGGGCGACCCCTGCTCTTAGAAGTGCAACTCTGCGGTCAGGGTGCAAGTCGGGCGGTTTGGAGTCCTGGAGCGGAGGAGGGGATCCTGTCCGCATCTCCCTGGAAGAAAGGCAGGCAGGGCCAGGGTTCCCACGAATCGCGGGCGGCGGCGATATTGGCTCGGTCCCGGGTCCCGTTCGGGTGGCGACGCTCTTAGGAGCCAGCCCCGCCCCTCGCCCCCAATCCGCCTCTCCGGGGTTTGGGGCTGGGATCCGTCTGGAACCTCGCAGAAAACTTTTCCCCTCCCAGCGGTCGGAGCTCCCTTTTGTCTTCCTGGGCGGCGGCGGCGGCGCCTGAGCTGCGAGTGCCTGGCCCCGCCGGCTCGCCGCGCCCGTGCCTTCCGCGGGCCGGCGTCCCCGGACCCCGCGCTCCGGATGGCGGCTAGCGGCGACCCCGCAGCCCGCGGCGGGCACAGTCAGCGGCGCACCCCCGGCCCCGAGGCCGCCCGCGTCCCCCCGGCGCGGAGGTAGGGGCGCCCCTTCCCCTCGCCCGCCCCCTCGCCTGACTCATCCGCCCGCGGTGACCGCGCCGCGTCGGCTGCCGGAGCCCCGCCGGGATGGAGAGGAAGAGCGCGGCTGCCCGCGGCTGCCCACGAGATTCCCGCTGACGCCCCCTCGCTCGCAGCTGCCTTCGCTCGTCACCGCAGGCGCCTGAGGTCCCGGGCATTTCCAGGAGTGACAGCCGCGAAAGGCGACCGGACCCCCGAGACCCCGCGCTCAGGACAGGTGAGGGGAAGGACTGGGCACCGCTGGGCGTGCGGAGGTGGGTGGGCGGCCGCTGCAGCGGGATCCGGGCGAGCCGTCAGCCCCTTGCGCCCGCCTCCGCTGTAGCCTCAGGAGTTAGGGCAAGCGCTACCTCCTGAAGTTTGGGAAACAAACCAAGTCCGCCTTCAGGTCCGGGCGCCTCGGTCCCCGGGGCGCGAGAAGAGCCGCGTGGGGCAGCCTCGGCGAGCGCGGAGTATCAGAGCGCCTGGCTGCAATCCTGCCAGCTACACCCTCCTTTGTCTCGGTTCCAGGGAGTCCACAGAGCTAATTGATGGGCAGCGGAGTACGTGGTGGTGCCTGCATAGACAAAATGGAGAGGCAGGACCGAGATTTGCACAATTCAGCATTATTCTTCTCCCAATAGAGGCTGTCCTGAAGAGAAAGGACCCAGGGCTTGCAAGATTTGCTCCATTCATCATTCTGCGCTCATTAATTGTGCAAGCCAGCACTTCACATTGTGTAGGCGCAAGCTCTGTGTGTTTACTGCTCTTTGGGGTGTGTGTTTGCGTGTGTGTGTGTAATTACTCTGTGCCAGGCACTGGTAATGTCAGAGAGGAAGGCAGATGCTTCACATATACGCGTAGAATTGAGTAATTGGAGCCATTCTCTGCACACCTTTGGTGTATTTAAGTAAAAATGTGTTGGGTTAAAGTGCCTTTTCTTTTGAAGATCTTCAGAAGTAGTTGGGGACAACTGCATGCAAAACATGATCAAGAGTCCATCAAAATTGTTATTTGTCAGTAGGAATATTGAACTCGCGGTTTGCAGTCGCACCAAGTTCAGAGGCTACTTTGCGCCGCGCTTGAGGCATTACTAGTAACAGAGCCTGTGGAGGCTATGTAGTTGGATTTTTGTCACTTCTTGCCATATGGAAACACTAATACAGTGACGTTCAGTCTGGTATTTAGCTTCTGATACTAGAACATTTTCACATTTGGTGAGAAGTGGGCTGAATTCTGAAACTTTCAAAACCTTACTTTATTTTCCTGCTGCTGTTTACCCACACAGAAGCATCTGATTGTAGTTTAATGCTTTTTAAGCAGCTCAAATGAAGAATCTGAGTCCTTCTCAATAGAAAATAATTCTTCTTTTCAGTGGAAATTGTAATTCTTTTGACAATTTAATGTTTAAGATTTTCTTTTTGCTCTGAAAAGTATATGCCCAAGTGTTAAGGATGGTTTTTCTCTAATGAAGTCTACTAGAGAGGTCATAATTATGAGATGCTTTGGCAATCATGTGTAGCCCTGGTTATAATTAGCTTTGTATCTAGGCTGGGAAAGCATTCAGCAAAAGAGGGAGTTGTTGCGTGGGAAGTCTTTGTATGTGATTTCCAGACAGCACAGAGAGACTTCTTTACCTGTTGCCTCTGAGGTAGAGCTATGTAATGCATGTGGAATCCAAGAGGCACCATAATCAGAAAGAATCCTGCAAAATAGATCATTCTTAAGAGGATGGCCTCACTTGTTATTGTAACTTGGAGCGATTGTCAGTGAAGCTTTTGTGTTCTCCAAGTGTTAGACTGCTATATTTGGACTTGGGGAGTTTTGGAATTTTGACAACAGCTCATTGAACAGAGAACGGTAGCTACTGACATACATAGGGCATGAAACTGAATTGACTGGTTACATTTTCTCAACCCCGTGGTGACCCTTAGCAGAAAGGACAAGAAATTTGTATTTTGCTTAGGAAGGCATATAAGGACAAAGATCAAAGCAAATGTCACCTTTCTCATTTCTTAAGTAAAATTAGAAGATAAAAAATAAGTCATCATAGTAATGCACATTGTTTATCAAGTAGATTGTAGAATTTAAAAGAGGAGGCAGTTTAAAAATAAATTTTTATAATGTTCCTCTCCCTAAATAGGAGACAGCATGGGGAGTCTTTGTCAATCCAAATATATCTCAAAAATAACTTGGGTTGGGACAAAAAAAAAAAAAAAAACTTGTAATGAGTTAGATCCTTTTTTTTTTTTGCTTTTATTAAGGAATATATGATTTGCACTTTTGTCAAGTGTACATGCTGGTTCCTAGACATAGGATACATTTTATCTGCTAAAATCTGATATGTGCCCAAGCACTGAGAGCACTGACAAGCACTTGTGGTGCCGTGCTAGCAAATGGACACCCATCCAGCTTCTTGTATGAGAGTTTATAGACTAATGAGGAGAGGACTCTAAATATGCCACAGATCACCTAGCACCTAGGCTGGTCTCCGAGCACTGGGGGACCATTGCAGAATGGGGTGCAGTCTGGGGTTGAAAAGGGCACTGGATGGGTGAGTTGTCTTCTTGACCTACTTATGCCCTGAGTACATGACCTTGAATGAGTCCCTTGGTGCTGTCGTCTGCAGAATGCGGGCTGTGGACCAGCGATCTTTATGTTCTCTTTTCGAAATGCTGCATGACAAGTTCTGGTGGAATTAAGATGAAGGAGAAATCAGGATGTGTACGCGTGTGTTTTGGGGGGTCGTGTAGGAGTTGGGTGGAAGGCTAAAGGCTGTGATAGATGTAGGAAAATGGTAAAGGCTTTGGTACAGGAGGTCAATGAGATCTGGCCCGGGGCATCTGACCCATCAGTGATTCCCTGAGTTGACAAACATAATAAAATAAAGGCGAACTTGCACTAAATACAACATGATTTTCCATGAATTTTCACAAATAATGGAAATTGATTTTTCCTAATGACCCTCAGGAGTATTTAGAGCAGAAAGGTGATGAAAGCCAGGCTAGTACTACAGAGTGTGTTTGTACAGTACGCTTCACTGCCCTCCTGCAGGCTTTGGAGACCCTGAGTAAAATGCGAGAGAAAGGTTGGTGTCAGATTTTAGTGGAGGTGGAATTTCTGGGTTATAATTTAGGTTACATTCTGGAAGGCAAGGTTCTCCAGTTATGAGAGCAAGACTTCCTTATGCCTCGAGTTCTGATCATTGATGTTTAGTCTGATTGCACCTCTTTTGCACTTCCTCTCCACCTCACCTCCTTCTCTTTCCTGAGCAGGAATTCCGGGGGATTTGACTGTAACAAAGTCCTTGGTAAGATTTTCAAGAGCCTTGAGTGCAACTGCAAAAAGAAAATACCTGCTTCTCATATAAAGGTGAGAATTCTTTGGGTCATTGTACTGTTAATTAATGGGCTGTCTTCTAGTAGCAAGCTGTGTTTCGTAAACTTTGTCACCAGAGGAGAATTACATACTAGGCATAGAAATGTAGCAAGGTGTAAAGATAGGAATTCTATACATTCTTTCTTTCAGTACTCTCATCATACTGGGCCCTGAGTTTTAAGGGCACAAGGATGGATAGGGCCCCTGTTGCATCACCCTTCCTGTGTTCCTGAGAAGAGGAGTTGGTCAGGATTCATTTGATTGTATACACAAAGAAATGGCTTTTAACCATGTTAAGCAAAAAGGGACAGGCAGAAGGATTTATTGGCTACGTGAATGGAGAGTCCATAGGCAGACCTTGCTTGAGTCATGGCTGGAACCCAGATACTCACATGATTTTATCAAGGTTCTCTTTCCACTCCCATTTCTTGACTCCGCTTCTTTCTTTGTTAAGTTTATTTTGAGATCTTTCTATGTGCAGACAAGGTCTGTTCTCATTAGTTCCAAGTCTCTATCCTTGGGCTTGGAGTCCACAAGAAAGAGGCATCCTGTATCTTTTGGGTGTGTTTTATGTAAATCTCCCTGAGGAACTCAGTGATCCTGTGGATAGTGTCAGACTGTATCATGTGCCCAGCCCAGTGCGTATGTGGTTCTGGTGATAGTAGGATGGGAAGGAATGGGCTAGTATGGCTCTATGATGGGCATTTGTGTTTATACCACATAGAAGTATGGTTGTTTAAAGCAAGCAATTCTGTCAATCAAACACAGTATGTCTATTATTGCGGATAACTTCTCTCTCCATTTTTTTTAAAGAGATTTATTTACCTTAAAGGTAGAGTGACAGGGAGAGTGGGAGGGAACGGGAGCGAGGCAGTAAGGGAGAGAAAGAGAGAGAAAGAACAAGCAAGCTAGCTTCCATCTACTATTTCACTCCCAAATGACTGTTATAGCTGGGTCACTCTGATATGGAATGCCAGCATCACAAGTAATGGCTTAACCTGCAGTGCTGCAGTGCTGACCCACTCATTCCTTTTTTGTGATAACTCCAAACAAACTCCCTGTGTATGGAGTTTGCACTTCATTGTAGGCAATTCAGGTGCCCAAAGCCAGCAGATTCCAGAAATGGCACCTAACTTCCATCCAAGGTGAAACCCAGTGATGCAATAATGTCTCATGTCTAGACTTCATTGGAAGGACTGTCGTTTTCAGACTATGATTGAATGAGTAACCTGCCATTTATCTCTGTGTCCCTTCAGCAAACAGCCTTTTGCCTTGTTTCCCACCAAGGGATTTAATTTGCAGAAGCCCTGGCACCTAATATTAATGAGATTGGTGACCCTTACTTTGGGAATTGTAGAGCCAGGAAAGTGAAACAATGAACACACAACTATTGTCTTTGAAAATTCATGGGTTGTTGGAGATAGGCAAAAAGGGAACAACAGGTACAGGTTAGAGTTGTCAAATTACAGTATTGGCAGCAGGAATGTGTGAACTACAGTATGAGAGTCTTGTGAGTAGATAAGGGAGTTAAATAATTTACTTAAGATTACATGGTCACGCTGGCGCCGCAGCTCACTAGGCTAATCCTCTGCTTTGCGGCGCCGGCACACCAGGTTCTAGTCCTGGTTGGGGCGCCGGATTCTGTCCCAGTTGCCCCTCTTCCAGGCCAGCTCTCTGGTGTGGCCAGGAAGTGCAGTGGAAAATGGCCCAAGTACTTGGGCCCTGCACCCCATGGGAGACCTGGAGAAGTACCTGGCTCCTGCCATTGGATCAGCGCGGTGCGCCGGCCGCAGCGCGCCGGCTGCGGCAGCCATTGGAGGGTGAACCAACGGCAAAGGAAGACCTTTCTCTCTGTCTCTCTCTCTCTCTCACTGTCCACTCTGCCTGTCAAAAAAATAAAAATAAAAAAAATAAATAAAAAGTTAAAAAAAAAGATTACATGGTCATTAAGTGGTAGATCTGGAATTCTAACCTTGGTGGTCTGACACCACAGCCAGAGCCTTAACCACTGACTCTCAAGCCCAAGACCAGAATCCAGTGTTTGGACCAGGATCAAGGACAGGATCAAGGCTGGGCCTTCCAGTAGGTAAGCAGAGTGGCAGGAATCCAAGTCAGACAGAAGGCACAGAATAGAAGTTATTAGGGTAAAGGTGCGGAGCATCCAGCTCAGCGACAAGCTAGACAAGAGTGCCGAGGGGAGACTCCAGCAGAATCCTGTGTACCTAGATTCTTGGTTTGCAGGTTGGAGTGTGACAGAAAAAAAGCAATGGGAGCAATATCAGGAAGTTGAACAGGTGGGTAGATCAATAGAACTGGGACTTGATTGTTGATTTGAGAACAGGAACTCCGCCATCTGTCCTGGCCTTAAATGTCCTTCCTGGTGTAAGTCAATAAGAATAGGGAGTGAGCAGCTCCTCAGAGGGAGACAGGGTTCTATTAGTGATCAGGCACCATTAGGGAAAGAATAGCTAACATTTGTAGATCATGTGGTATGTGCCTTGGATACACAACCTCACTAAATCTTCAGTACAATACTAAGCCAGGAAATGGGAGATCAGAGAGGTTAAATTGCTTACTGGAGCTTCTGGAGCCAGACTGGAATGTGAAGGTGCTGGCGTGGAATCCCACATCTGTCTGAATCCAGACCTCATCCTAGATCCTCAGAGAGTCATTCTGGTCCTAGCAGGGCAAGATTAATTTCAAATCTAAGTGACAGGAAAAAGGAAGCCAGCAGGGCATATGATTACAGGAAGACAAAGAGCTAACTTTGAGACATCTGAGTGAGAAGTAAAAACAGACCATGTGAGACTTGTCCCATAGCATTATACCCTTCTTTGGCACAAACTTGAACAGCCTAGTAGGTGTTTTTCCTTGGGTGCAAGCTCTCAGTCATTATGCAGTGTATAGATATGTTAGCAGGTCATATGTTTGGAAAATAATTTTAGTCATGAAATTCAGTTAAAGAGAAGGGACCTCTGCCAACTGCTGTGGCCTGAATTTACCTTTAAACATATGGGTGCTTTGTCCTTAAATCTGAAAAAGAAGAGATAGATACATATGGTGTCAATAGAAAGAGAGAGAAAGTTCTAGGACATGCTGAATGTAGTAAGTACAGGGAACTTATTCTAGTTACAAAGGTCTATACTTGAAGATATTCTAAATGGAATGATTTACTGACAGAATATGAGCAATATCATATCAGTCTCCAGAAAATGCACAGGCAAATTCTATGTGCTTAGATGTATGACTGGATTTATGTAATAGACTGTATGTGTGCATATGTGTGTATAGTAAGAATAAGGGAAATAAGAAAGTATATGAAAATGGACATATTTGTGAGAACCTCAGAGTCTTTTTGTTTTAATTTGAGAGAGAGAGCACTCCCATCTGTTAACTCCCAAAATGTCTGTAGTAGCCAGGGCTGGGCCAGGCTGAAGGCAGGAGCTGAGAACTCAATCCAGGTCTCCCACATGGGTGGCACGAACCAAATTACTTGAACCATCACTGCTGCTTCCCAGGGTGTGCATTAGCAGGAAGCTGGAGTCAGGAAGTAGAGCTAGAATCTGATATCAAATGCAGATATTTGATGTGGGACACAGGCATTTTATTTATTTATTTATTTTTACTTATTTTTATTTACTTATTTTTATTTTAAGGACTCATTTATTTGAAAGGCAGAGGGAGGAGGGAAGGGAGGGAGAGAGAGAGAGAAAAAGGCCTTCCATATGCTGGTTCACTTCCCAAAGGTCCACAACATCCAGGTCTGGGCCAGCCTATAGCCAGCAGCCTGGAACTCCATCCAAGTCTTCCACATGGGTGGCATATAGTCTGCTGACTTCCCAGGCACATTAGCAGGAAGCTGGACCAGAAGCAGAGTGACTGGGACTCAAACCAGCATTCTGATATGGGATTCCCACATCACAAATGACAATTTAACCTTCTGTGCCCCAACACTGGCCATAGAGATATAAATGTTTTAACCATCTTCTTAACCTCTGTTAATCATTCCTGCCCCATAAATCTTTGAAACAGCATACAAGAATGATGTGATTTTAGTATTGGAAGAATCTTTTAGAGAATAATCAAGATCACATGCTAGCTAGTGTTAGGAAATACAAACTGAATAGTAACAGCTGAACATCAGTGTATGGAGAACAAAAGGAATGGAACCATCTAAAGTGCAGAAGGCCAATCAGGGAAGGCTTCTGTGAAGAGACAAGTTCTACTGAATACATATGAGTATTGAGAAGAGAGGAGGGCATTCCTTGTAGGACTAAGAACCTACCACCAGGAGCTGTGGTTGAACAAGATGCATTTGCTGCCCATGGCAGCGAGGGGGAATGTGTACATTAGGGAAACATGGGACAAGAGAGTGTTGGAAATTCCTTATAGGATTTGCACGTGTGTTGGTTGATTTTAGAGACGGTTTTACTCTGGGTTGAAGTAGGGGTAATCCTTTGAATTTGTATCTTAATAGATCTTATCTAGAAGAAGGCAAGACCAAAGAAGCTATCAGTGTCATTGAAAAAGCACCAGTCATTCACATTAACCAGATTCAGGGAGTGTTTGGCCATTTGGGGGGCCAGACAACATTCATGTGCTTGTTCCATTAGATTATGAGATCCTTGAGAATAAGGATCAGAACTCATGATCTAATAAGAGCGGATGTAAACAAATGATTTACAATACATCGAAGCTGGTAGATATATTAAAAAGAACATTAAAGGCTCATGAAGGAAAAGTAATGTTGAGAAGGATCAGGCTCTTTTGCAAATAGTGAGCTAATCACAGAGGTGTGGATAGATTAGCAGCTGCTGCAGAGAAAATATTTTCCTTTGGAGAATCTGTAACTCTGGGCTGAAATGCAGAGTGAATCCAAAGAATCTCAGTAATCTCTCTAAGCTGATGTTGGCACAGGAGAAACATACATTTTGGCTCCTTTGGCAAAATGAGTCATATTGGCTCTGTGAACATATATGTACAAGTATTTGTAA